AGGGTGATTGGTGGGGTCACACCTATGGTTCATCCTATAAGGGTACATGTGAATCTCTCTAAATGTAGAATATAAATGTCTTAACACAATAACTAAGCAAAAGACATGAAGGCTATGTTAACCAGTTGGATGAAAGTATTTCAAATTGTATATAGAAACAGTACACTGTATTCCATGATAGTATTAATGTACACTGCTATGATTTAATAAAAAATAAAAAATAAAAAAAAAGAATGTAAGAAAAAGTATTCAATGTACTCAGCCCTACTATGAAACCAATTTATAAGCACCCACACTTTCATATGAAAGCTATAAACCAACTATAGCCCAAGAAGAAGGGGAAAGACGAGAGGGAGGGAAGGGGTGAGGATGGGTAGAGGGAGGGTAATTGGTGGGACCACACCTATGGTGCGTTTTACAAGAGCAAGTTAAACCAACTAAGTGTAGAATATAAATGTCTTAACACAATAACTAAGAAAATGCAGTGAAGGCTATGTTAACCAGTTTGATGAAAGTATTTTAAATTGTATATAAAACCAGCACATTATACCCCATAATTGCATTAATGTACACAGCTATGATTTAATAAAAAATAAAATAAAAGAGGCAGAACTTTCCATACAGCCAATACATTATCTCAAACAAATATAACGCTAGGCACAGCGGTTCATACCATTAATCCTAGCAGTCTAAGAGGCTGAAGTAGGAAGATTGCTTGCACTCAGAAGTTTGAGACCAGCCTGAGCAAAAGTGATACCCTGTGTCCACTAAAAACAGGAAAAATTACCTAAACACTGTGGTACATGCCTGTAGTCTCAGCTACTCGGGAGACTGAGGCAAGAGAATCACTTTAGCCCAAGAATTTGAGGCTGCTATGAGCTATGACACCATGGCACTCTATCCAGGGCTACAAAGTGAGAGCTCTGTCTCAAAAAAAAAAAAAAATTACACAAACAAATACATAAGTAAAAATAAATGAATATATCCAAATAGTTTTGAGTTGCTAATAAAAGTACTCACAAGTATGATCTAACTAGTTTAGGTGCTTGAAAACAAGGCAAAACTAAATTATCATCATTCTGAAATATAGCTCATTTCACGTTACTGAAACAATTTTATGACAATTTTAAAGGACCAAACAGGTCAAGTTATTTTATACATAGAGCTTTGTGATCATTTACTATAGTGGGAAATTCTCAGGATCCCTGCTGTATGCTACTACCGACCTCTGGTTTGGGAAAATGGGGGAGCGGGAAAGCAGAAATATACAACCATAACAGAAAAGCAGAAATATATAACCTACCGCTAATTTGCAAAATAGATAATACTGTAAGACTACAACCAGAGTTTAATACACCTGACTAACTGAAAGAGTAAATATGGTAATCCCTAGACATGTGTAGAGTGGCATTTGATGACAATGCTATAGAAGTAGCTGTCATGGTCAAATATTGGATTAGAACAAAGGAATGAAAAAGTGGCATTCCTATGGCACTTTTATGTAGTATAAAAGTGGCACTTCTATGCAGCTTTTATACTACATCTTGGTACAAATGCCATAGAGAAAAGTCATTTAAATCAGTGAAAGATGGTTAAACTATTGTGAGTTTTGTGGTTTTAAAAGTTACATTCAAGTTAACTTTGATTTTTTTAAAAAAAACCCACCCCAATAAAAGTCCCCTGCATTACTGACAGTGAACTGAATGCCACCATTATTGAACTGTATTTGAGAATTGCTAATGTCACTGTTGTTCGATTACACTCATTAAGAGATTTAGGTTAGTAGTGAGTACACTGTTAATGCTCAGGTAACAATAATACTAATAATAATGGCTTGTGATTCAGAGCATGGGACACGGAGCAGACACTACCCATTGTGGGTAAATCAATGGTGGGACAATCCATGGTGACAAATGCCCCACTTCATGGCAGTGTGGGGCAAGGTTCTTTTATCTTGCTAATAAGAAAGAGCAAAATTCTAGGTGGGAAAGGTCAGAAAATAATAAGAATGAACAAGTATAATAGAAAATGTTTAGAAGAAAGGAAACACTAAGGAAATAGACAAAAAAGATGAAGGTGGCTATAATGGCAAAACCCCCTTGGTAAAATTCAGTAGTTTGGCTGGGCACTGTGGCTCATGCCTGTAATCCCAGCACTTGGGAGGCCAAGGTGATGGATTGCCTGAGCTCACAGGTTTGAGACCAGCCTGAGCCAGAGGGAAACCTCATCTCTAAAAATAGTCAGATGTCGTGGCGGGCACTGGTAGTCCCAGCAACTTGGGTGACTGAGGCAAGAGAATCGCTAAAGCTCAGGAATTTGAGTTTACTGTGAGCTATGATGCCACAGCACTCTTACCAGGGTTACAAAGTGACCAATAAAAAAATAAAATAAAATTTGATAATTTGGATTAGTTACAGAAGAACCTCCGTAGTTGGCCACCTCCCTATGTCGACCTAATTTTCATGGACCAGACATGCACCACATGTACTTATCACTACAGCGTGCCTAGTTCCTTATGCTGACCACCTCCACATGTTGACCAGTTACAGTCCCTTGGTGTCAACTTATAGAGATTCTACCATATTTTGAAGAATGGCCCGAATATTGACCTTTTAAATATTCTTTCATTCCATGTGCCAGTAAATCACACAAACCAATATTTAGTGGGTGTCCACTGTCACAAAATTGTTGCAAAGGTCCAAAGAAAAAACTAAGATGTTTCAGCCCTCAGTGAGCCCAATGAAAATACATCCTGCATATCAGATATTCACATTATGTCGTGACCATTGAAAATACATCCTGCATATCGGATATTTACATTATGATTCATAACAGTAGCAAAATTATGGTTATGAAGTAGCAATGAAAATAATTTTATGGTTGGGGGTCACCACAATATGAGGAACTGTATTAAAGGGTTGTGCCATTAGGAAGGTGGAGAACCACTGGCGTAGAAGAAGTCCTTGAGACATGGGGTGGTTTCAGCACATGTATTACACTAAGACATTACAGACCTTCCGTACACCCTTCCCTTCCTTCAAATATAAAGGCTGCTTCCTGATTTATAACATTAAAACTACAGTCGAAAGTTTTCTATCTTTAGCATCTCTTGCCTCCAATTTTCTATTATAAGTAACATTGAAATGGAAATCCTCATGAACATAGCATCCCAACCCATATTTCTGATTATTTCCTTATTCTAGTTCTCAGAAGTGGGGTTACTGGTTCCAGAAGATTTCATAGCTGAATTCATTTTGGACCATTGCTAAATTGCCTTCTGAAAGGGTTGTGTCCATTTATAATATTGTGAGCAATGCATGACGGTAATGAGAGAAGCCGTTGTATATTCTCGTCACATGGCCATACTTTGCAATTAATACTGTCAGAATTTTAATTTAAAATTCAAATTATATGAGGTAATTTGCTAATAGGTACTCATTTTTCAGAAGGCTTTTATCATGTGATTTTCATGGAAGCAATACAAATCTAATGCTAAAAATCAGTTTCAAAGGATCAGGCAACAAGTCACATGAATATGAACGTGTTTGACCTTTCCATTTTCCCCCATAGCTCATCAGAGCACTTGATTAATAGGACTTCAAAGGCAAACAATATGTAAAGTGAAATAAACATACTCGAAACATTTTTAGAAAATTATAGTCTCTGTCATTCAATTTTTCCCATTATTTTATTATAAAATGAGAACATTGTTATTTGGGAAAATATTAACTTCAAGGCATACAGTAAAACAACATTGAATAGCGTGGCAAAACCTTTGAAGTCACATACTTAATGCAGAATCTTATCTTTTTGGAATATTCTTAGAAGAAAGTATTCATTTTAAAACTCACAAGCTATTAATGTGGACCTCTTTGGGGGTATTTATTTTGTTTTGTTCTGTTTTCATCAAAAAAGCAGCCTGTAGGGAAGTTGCTGGGTTTTCCTAGTGAAAAACCTGGATTTATTCTCAAATGGAGGGCAAGCTGCTAATACTTGGGAACCAGAGTTTCAAGTAAATCAATCAATAAATAGAACAGTTAAATTCAGGATCACATATATGAGCACATTTAGCAATGGAATAGGAGCCAGGCGCATTTCAGTGTAGGTAGCATGTAATCTCACAAACTCAAGTATCCTTGTGCAAACAGCTGGCTGGAATATTTTAGATTATAGCTGCCCCATAAAACCAAGTGTGATTGCTGCAGTTACCCTGCTTGTTGAATTCATCTCTTGATCTTAAAATGTATAAATCTATATTTCTGTGTATTCCATTAATATTACAAGGCCTACTATATGGATTCTGGAGCCAACTTGCCAGGGCTCCAGTCCGTGCACTGCCATATGACCTCAGGCAAGTTACTTAACCATTCTGTACCTCAGTTTCTCCCTCTGTGAAATGGGGACAATCATAGTACTGAACTCAAAAAATTTGGGGGGAAGGTTAAATGAATTAATCCACACAAAATCTATTTTACTACTTAAAATAGTACCTGGCATATAGTAAGTACTATATGAATGATTGCTACTATTTCTAACTTCATGATTTCTAATTTTTATTATTACTTCTACTTAAATTTAAATAAAGCTGTATAGCCTGTATTAAGAAATCAAAAAGATACTGAATATGTCCACAAAAATAACCTGTATTTCCCACAGCACAGTTAATTTGGGCCTAGAAATAGAGTATTGCAATACCAGTTACATACTACGCATGCATAGACGTGAGAATACTTTGGAGTCAGTTGTTTCTGGCTGTGAATTCTACCAGTAACTTACCATGTGACTTGGGGAAATTTACCTGGTCAGCCTCTCTAAGCTTTTAGAATAGTGATTTTCAACCGGTGTGTGGTGACAGGATCTTAGGTGTGCAGTGAAAATTTTTAAAGATTAGTTAAACTATTTTCAAAAGAACTTCAAAGCACAGTAAGTATATATTTTTTGATTCTTGGTTTTTTTCTTTTCCTTTTTTTTTTGTTTTGTTTTGTTTTGTTTTTTCTTTCCTCTGTGCAACCCACTTCAGTGCCAGCAGCCTATGGACACAGAGGCCAGGCAATGGTTCAGGGCCACAGTTTGCTCTGGTGTGGGGCATTATGAGAGGCCCAGTTGATTCTTGTTTTGATCAACATGATTTAAGCATGCCATGGAAGTTTAACTATAGGTTCAAGTGTGCCGTGAGATAACAAAAAAATGGTTGAAAAACACTGCTTTAGAAGGAGAAACAATACTTGCCTGACAAGATAACCAAGAAGCCATTAGATGTTAATGAATGTGAGGTGTGTGGCAGAGGCCGGACATCTTAGGACATCGGGCCCACTTCAAAGAACTCAACCAGTTCTGGCAGCTCCTGGAAAGCCCCTCGCTTTTCATTCTCTGGCTCCACATTAGAAGTATTGCTACTGAAATTTTGCTCTTCAATAAGTAGGTTCTTGGTCTTGGTGATTCGAAGAATGAATCCATGGACCACAGATCAGTGGTAAGACAGGATTTATTTACAGAAAAGAATACAGAAGCGCCAGAGTTCCTGGCAGAGAGAGAAAACACAAGTCAGGAGAGAAAAGTGCTCTCTCTCCATCTCTGTCTGTCTGTCCCTAGGCTCTTTGTCTAGGAGTATAATACAGCCACATGGGGCCCTCAGTAGTTACATTTACCCCGGCTTGGTAGTTACATTTAGCTTATCTGGGACATCCTGTTTGGGACATGTGTGGAACAACTCTGGCCCTCTGTACATCATGTCTGGGACATGTCTGGCCCTCTAGGTAGTTACATTTAGCAGTTACATTTAGCAGGGCTTAGTGGTTACATTTAGTTACATTTAGCTTGTCTGGGACATTGTGTCCGGGACATGTCTGGAACAACATGTCTGGGTCCCAAATGAATAGCTATAATCCCTTTCATCCCCAGGCCTAGTAAATGGGGACCCCCTGCCCACCCTCCAGCCCGCTGTTTCCGCTGCTTGCTGCCACAGCACCAACATGGCCAAGGTGGAGGCAGCAGGTCTGCGCCCCCAGCTCCACGAGCTGGCTGGGATGCCACTTGTCCTGTATCAGCTCTCCCTCTCCAAGTAGAAACTCTAACTGCTGTTATGGAAAAGGGATGAAGACTCCCGTCTAACTGCTTCCTGCTGAGTCCGGCGATGATAGGAAGGGGGCAGCTAGGGTTTCTCTGGAGGGAGAGTGATCCAGGGTTCACGATAGAATCAGGTCTTGGACTGGAACCATCTTTACTGTGTGTGGCTTGATGACATTTCTGGAAGACACAAATCTGACTAGCACATTAAAAGGCAAGGGTAGAACAGTGAGAGGAGGGAGTTAATTACGGTGTCAGGTTGGAGGAACAAAGTCAGTGATGTTTAAAAGAAAACTATATTAACACTTTTCTTACTGTTTTCTAAATAATAACTTTAAATTTTCTTTAGGCTCACAAGTGTAGGTGAACAGTGGTTGATTCTCTTCCTGGTCTGCTTCTGTAGAAGGGGGTGGGTTCCAGGATTTAACTCATGAATGATGTATCCAGGAATCTATTCCCGTAACTTTAATAGCTGTAGGAGAAGACAAGATAACAGAAAAAGGACCTTCCCAAGTTGGGGTTAGGGAAGGTGAATTAGAGGGAAGAGTTTTACTCATGACTAGATCTCTAGGAGAGAAAAGCTCCTTTCATGTTGAATGTCAAAATGTAGTTAGGAGGTTTTTAAGAATTTGTTGAAATTTAGCTAAAGAAGTAATATGTTTTACTAATTCAAGCAGTAGTTTCTTGATCTAATAATAAATAGTTAAAAAAGGTCTTCCATATAATAATTCGATTGGGCTACAGCGAGTTTCTGATGTAAATTTCTTATTCTAAGGAAAACAATGGAGGGCAATTTAGTCCAAGGGAGATGAGTCTTATGAGTTAGCTTTTGTAACTGTCCTTTGATTTTATCATTCATTTTTTCTACTTTCCCAGAGGACTGGGGCTTCCAAGAGCAGTGTAGATGATATTTTATGCCCAGGGCTTTAGATATTCCCTGTGTAACAGCTGCTTTGAAGGCCGGCCCATTATCACTTTGCAAACCCCAAGGGAGTCCAAACCTGGGGATAATCTCATGTACTAAAGCCTCTACAATTTCCTGGGCCTTTTCTGTTCTATGAGAGAATGCTTCCACCCAATTAGTAAAAGTATCCACAAATATCAGCAAATATTGTATGCCATGTACTTTAGGGAGGTGAGTGAAATCTATTTGCCAATCTTCGCCTGGATATTTACCTTGTCTCTGTATACCCAGGGGAGCCAGATGGTGATTTAAAGGATTATTTCTTTGACATACCTCCCAAGTTCTTATTATCCGTTTTGTGGTTTCCATTCTAGAGTGACTAGGCCCTCTTTAGGGGCATTTTTAATTTAAGAATTGAGTGGTCTAGCTATTTCACTATATCCAGGAATCCAGAGTCTGCAAAAGCCTGTAATTCCTAAGAAGCCTCGAGGTTGTCTGAGAGTTGGAGGTTTAGGGTGAGCCAGTTCTGGTTCTATTCTTTCTTTGCCCAAGGCTCTCTTCCCCTGTGAAAGCTGGAGACCCAAATAGTGAACTTCTGGGACACATAATTGGGCTTTAGCCTTGGAAACTTTGTACCCAAAATCAGCTAGAAAGTTTAATAGAGCTTGTGTAGCTTTGTGGCATGCCTCTACATCTGATGCTCCCAAAAGAATGTCATCTACATACTGAATAAGAGTTGCTGTAGAATATGAAAAACGACTCAAGTCTTTGGCTAAGGCTTGTCCAAACAAGTGAGGGCCATCCCTAAATCCCTGGGGTAACACAGTCCATGTGAGCTGGGTGTTGGAGTCAGAAGAGTCTTCAAAAGCAAAAGGTTTTGGGAATTTTCATGAAGTGGAAAGCAAAAGAAGGCATCTTTTAAGTTTAGAATTGCGAAATAGGCAGGCTTTTCAGGGATATGAGATAATAAAGTATACAGATTGGGAACTACAGATGGAGAGGAAGGACCGTTTCATTTATAATGTGGAGGTCTTGGACTAGTCTCCAAGTTCTGTTTGGCTTTGGCACTCCCAGAATAGGAGTGTTACATGGACTATTACAAGATATTAATAATTTCTGATGCTTTAGATTCTGTATTATGGGTATTAGTCCATTCTTAGTGTCTGTTTTTAGAGGATATTGTTTTTGATTGGGATAGATGGCAGGATTCTTTAACTTAATTTGGACTGGTTGAGCCTATCGTGCTCTTCCCACCTGTCCCTAAGTAGCCCACACTTCTGGGTTAATTTCTTTCTCTAATAAGGGAAGGCATAATATAGGTTCCTGTCCCATATTCATATAAATGGTTGTTCCTGCTTTAGTTAGTATGTCCCTCCCCAAAAGGGGAGCAGGACTTTCAGGCATGATTAGAAAGGGATACATAGTGAGACTCTGTCTCAAACAAACAAACAAACAAAAATGTTATCAAACAGAGAAATAGAGAAGAGAACATGAAATAAATCTGGCAAAATCTTGAAAATTGCTTAATCAGGATGACAAATATTATAGGGATTCATTACATTATTTTCTCTAATTTTTTTGTTTGAACATTTTCATAGATGATAAAAAAAATCTGAAAAATTTAAAAAACCTTCACATTTACAGAAAGAATACATATGGCCCAGTAGCTACAAGACACATAAGGCTTGTTTAATACTCTAGGAGTATTGTTCTATCTCCAAAAGAGACCAGTCAGATCTGGTCATATAGTCCACTGAATCCTTTTCTTCCTAGTCAACAGAATACGTCTCATAATTTCTAAATTTTTTTCAAATCTTGCTTATGCTAGGGAATCGCCATTTTCTCCAGCATCACCATCCAACCACCTAGACACTTCTATAATAGACATTTATATATCAATGTTCCCAAAAGTGAGATCATGAGTTAAATGTAATGAATCTCCAAAATATTATGCCAGGTGAAAAAATCCTGACTCAAAAGACAACATATGATTCTACTTTAAAAAAAGGCCAGGAAAGGCAAAATGATAGAGACAGAAAGATTAGTGGTTTCTACAACTAGACTAGGAGTGGAATGGGCATTTCCTGTGAATGGATTTGAAAGATCTTATGGGGATGATGACTGGCATTTACTGCAAATGGGTGTGAGTGATGGGATGATGGAAAGGTGCTAAAACTGGACTGGAGGGATGGTTGCATAACCCAGTAAAATTGCTGAACACCACTGAATTTTGAACAAGTGAATCTTATGTAATTATATCTCTATAAAGTTGTTTTTTAATAAAAATATATCTAGGTTGTCACAAGTCATTTTTAAACCATTTACTAGACATGTAAAGCATTTCATACTTTAGAGAAGCTATAACTAGTACCTGAAGTTGTGTTCTCACAATAGTGATAGAACGTTTCAAGTAAATTTCTAAGTTTAGAAAATGAAGTAATTTAAACAATTGATATAACTAAATTATCTTAGTAATTGATGTAATTGATTTAAATAAAAATGATGACATAAACTAGAAGTTTTGGAAAATGGTAGTCTAGGTCACTGGGTCTTAGGTGATAAACTCCAATGTGCGGGGTATGTGTATATGTTAATCTCAGGATCAAAAATAAAGATTAAATGGGATGATATTGATTTTAAAACTTCATGATTTGCCAATGCTGTTATAACAAAAGAAAAGGAGCAGCTTATTTAAGCTCCTTTTATTTTAATATTAAAGAAATCTTTATAAGGTTATGACAGATAAAAAGCTCTCCAGATGGAGCAGGAGTAATTTAACCAGTCTGTCTGATTCCCTCCTCTGGAATTTTGATTTTTTCTCCTCAATAAACATTATTAAGTGCCTACCATGAATTCACTAGGTGCTGGATCCTTGGTCTTGATCTTTAAGACATGTCCCTGTGCCCTCCTTCTCTTCTCTTTCTTCCAAACTAGGATGCTCTACCAAGAATCCTCTACTGGATTGGGGTAGAACACCCCCAAGCCCTTTCCCGGTTGCACTTGGCATAGCTAGAATAGGTTGGCATTTTTGAAACTTTCCCAAATTATTAAGGTTTAAATATTAAACCCACAAGAATACAGTAACGTTTTAAAATTACAGAAGACTGAAAAAAAGGAAACCCTCCCCACCTAGATTTCAGTTTCTAAATTCCTCCCTCTCACTTTCCTT